TTATTTATTCCTTCTCTTTCTAGCTTGTACTTATTTGAACAATGTCTAAGAACTTGGTATTACAACCACTTCTTGTGTCTGTTTGCCTCTCTTAAGAAGAATCGCTTTATGTATCCCCCAATTGTAAGTCGCTTTGTATAAAAGCGTCTGCTAAATGACTAAATGTAAATGTAAATGTAGATATATTTAAAAGACTAAATTAATAAAAGCGACAACGCATAACAGAATTACTAATACTTTAAGATTAAATTGAAAACAGAAAATATAAAACTAACATTCAAAATATTAAATACACGGATTGATATATATAGTTTATGTATTTGCTTTGACTTTTTTCAGGAAAAACTAACTATAATTTCAGCCAAAAAGCCACTGCTGCATTACTGTAAAAAAAACTAAAAAAAAAAAAAAAAGTAGCCATATTTTCTACACTGCTTTCACTAAAGGTAAATATAAATATATTTATAACTATATTTAAAAATTGTTTTGCTTTCAAACATATTTAGTGAATTCTGAATAGATGTTGTGCAAAATAAAAAGTTTCATTTTGTTGAATTTTATTATACAACCATTTAAACGTTCGAGGTCTGTACAGGTCTGTTTATGTTTTTGAGAAGTCTCTTCTGCTCCTCAAAGCTGCATTTATTTGATAAAAAATTCTGTAAATACAGTAATATTGTGAAATATTATTACAATTTCGATTACTGGTTCTATATTTAGATTTTAAAATGTAATTTATTTCTGTGATCAAAGCTGAATTTTCAGCATCATTACTCCAGTCTTCAGTGTCACATGATCTTCAGAAATCATTCTAATATGCTGATTTGCTGCTCAAGAAACATTTCTGATTATCATCAATGTTGAAAACATTGTGCTGCTTCATATTTTTTATAGAAACCACGGTTTTCAGGATTCTAGAAAATTCAAAACAGCAACATTTATTGTAAATAGAAATATTGACATTATAAATGTTTTTACTGTTACTTTTGATCAATTAAACGCTTTGCTTAAGTATTAATTTCTTTCAGAAAACAACATAACCCTGAATGTATCATAAATATTCTTGTACTTTTGCTGAAAAGGAGGAAGTTCCTGAAACGGTGTGGTGTGTCAGTAAACACAAGCGCTCTGTTAGTCACAGATAAAAGCTTCAGTCAGAGAGACTCTCTCCGGACGCACACACAGCTCATGCCAGTTGGAGGTTTGCCTTGTATCTGCTTTTATCATGAACTGAAACGCGCCCAAAGAGGCTTTCGTCATTAGCAGGATGTGCGGGAGCCCGTTAGCTGAACAGAAACGTCATGATGGCTTCTCACGCTACTACTGAACATGAGTCACGTCTGCTCACCTGTCGTCACCCCTCCAGCAGCACTCAAACTTATCAAAGATGCAGTCGTTCTCGTAGAGAGAGCACAGCTTACTCCTGAGATAACCATGAACCTGAGAGAGAGAGAGAGAGAGAGAGAGAGAGAGATCAAAGTCACAAAACACACTAATGCCACACACAGCAGGGAAAGCTAGTTTATGAATATCTCAGTTTCTAAGATTTTAAAATGTAATTTATTTCTGTGATCAAAGCTGAATTTTCAGCATCATTACTCCAGTCTTCAGTGTCACATGATCTTCAGAAATCATTCTAATATGCTGATTTGCTGCTCAAGAAACATTTCTGATTATCATCAATGTTGAAAACATTGTGCTGCTTCATATTTTTTATAGAAACCACGGTTTTCAGGATTCTAGAAAATTCAAAACAGCAGCATTTATTGTAAATAGAAATATTGACATTATAAATGTTTTTACTGTTACTTTTGATCAATTAAACGCTTTGCTTAAGTATTCATTTCTTTCAGAAAACAACAACATAACCCTGAATGTATCATAAATATTCTTGTACTTTTGCTGAAAAGGAGGAAGTTCCTGAAACGGTGTGGTGTGTCAGTAAACACAAGCGCTCTGTTAGTCACAGATAAAAGCTTCAGTCAGAGAGACTCTCTCCGGACGCACACACAGCTCATGCCAGTTGGAGGTTTGCCTTGTATCTGCTTTTATCATGAACTGAAACGCGCCCAAAGAGGCTTTCGTCATTAGCAGGATGTGCGGGAGCCCGTTAGCTGAACAGAAACGTCATGATGGCTTCTCACGCTACTACTGAACATGAGTCACGTCTGCTCACCTGTCGTCACCCCTCCAGCAGCACTCAAACTTATCAAAGATGCAGTCGTTCTCGTAGAGAGAGCACAGCTTACTCCTGAGATAACCATGAACCTGAGAGAGAGAGAGAGAGAGAGAGAGAGAGAAGTTTTCTCTCTCTGCACTGGAGACACATCAAGCTACAACTGAAAGATCTTTAACTAAACACTCTCTGCTCTCCACCGACCTCATATACCACTCAAATGCTCTGGGGTTTCCATGTCCTGCTTGGGACTTTGTATCCATTTTAATGGAGCATTATACTATCTTTGTAGATCGTAGAAACCATTGGGACCAATAGTCTCTGATCTAAGCTTACAAAGCTTTGGGGAAATGCCTGGTGAACATATTGGTCGTTTTGATTTTGGAACTGACACAAAAAAGTGCAACAGTCGGGTTCCGGAAATAAAAATTCCATTCATTTTTTCCATAGGAAATTGATTTTCAATGATAGCTTATAAAGCTTTAAATACAGACCTACTGTGAGTTTCAGGGTTGTTAAATGATGGTATGCTTCTGTTGAAGTCTTCAGTTCACATTATTTCAAGTTATTTTTAAAACATCAGTTTAAAAGTTGAATTTCTGGTGGAAAGCTATATGATGCTGTACAGAAAATCTCACCAATCAGATTTGCGGTGAAAGGAGCTTGCATGGAATGCCAACTCCATTGAAGCACTTACTTCCAATAAAGGAAGGACTCGAGTCAAATCTGAATATTAAAGACGTTGGGTTGGTCATTTGACTTGAGGCAGCAAGCAACCACCTAACAACTACCCATAACATCTTAGCAACCAAATAGCAATGCCCTGACAGCCACCCACAAAACCATAGCATCATGCTATTAAAGCCTGAAATGTCATTACAAATGATATCACTAATATAATGTTAATTTAATCAATTAATGGAAATGCATTAGGGCTGTAAAAAAAAAATTAATTTCGAATATTTGTCAAATTTAAAATAAAAATCCACATTCAGGCATTCGAATTTTAGGTGTGCGTCAGACAGCCTTATCAGTGGTGCACGAGATGCGATGACAATGTAAGTGTCGTTGCATTATAATGTTTTTGTTAGCCTATCCAGTTGAAGCCACTAGATGCGGCGCTGCTGCGTTGTTCATTAAAAATATTGCGGAAAAAGAGAACATCAATGAGGAGAGTCAAAACTGAAACCAAGCCGTTAACACAGAACGCAGATTTCACGCATTTTCTAGAGGGACATCTATCACCGTTGCACTCGCATCTCGCACAAAAGAGCCGCATGTTTAGAAAGCCATGTAAAATTAATGTAGGTTTAACTTTTTAAAAAACATATATCGAGACATATATCTGCATCTCATGTTTTTAAATGAAAAATGTACTCTGTGTGATTGGCTTTCTGCCCTTTGTATTAAACTATGCATACATACATGATGCTGTTTTGTTTATAGTTGTTTAAGCAACTTAATTAATTATATATGGTTTATAAACATTATTTTAAAAATTATGCGTTTTTTTTCACAGATAGTCATGTTTAGGGTGACCATATTTTAGTTTTCCAAAAAGAGGACAGTGGGGGGCGGGGGAAGGAGGCAGGGTTTCAACTAACAAAGTAAACGTAGCAAGGTATTTTTTTGTTTTGGTTGTTTTTAGAATAAATAAAAAGAAAACAAGTCAATAGAACAGAAAAAGTATAGATAATGCTTGTGTTAGAAGGTCATTATTTATAATAAATAAAAAGAAAACAAGTAGAAAGGATAGAGAATGCTAGTGTTAAAGGCTCTTTTCTTTTTAAATAAAACAAGTAGTTAGAATAGAAATAGAATAGAGTGCAAATGTTAGAGGGTCAAGTTTATTTAATTAAAATAACAAGCAAATAAAATTAGAATTAGGATAATTCTAGTGCTAGAGTTTGAGGGTCAAATGAAGATGAAAGAGATGTATTTTCAGCCGTTTCTTGAAAATTACCACCAGGAGGGAACAGTTCATGAAAAAATCCATGAAAGTTTCATCACAGGTTAAAATTGAATGCAAAATAATTCAATACAGGCATTTCAGTCAAATGTAATTTATGCAATATTTCAAACCTTTAACCCACTTGGGAAAATAAACCCATGGCAACAGTTTAAAAGCAGCCCAATTCTGTGGGAAAAAACGCGGACTTGGCAACCCTACATCCAACAAGAGATCTTCAGAAATCATTCTAATATGCTGATTTGCTGCTCAAGAAACATTTCTGATTATCATCAATGTTGAAAACATTGTGCTGCTTCATATTTTTTATAGAAACCACGGTTTTCAGGATTCTAGAAAATTCAAAACAGCAACATTTATTGTAAATAGAAATATTGACATTATAAATGTTTTTACTGTTACTTTTGATCAATTAAACGCTTTGCTTAAGTATTAATTTCTTTCAGAAAACAACATAACCCTGAATGTATCATAAATATTCTTGTACTTTTGCTGAAAAGGAGGAAGTTCCTGAAACGGTGTGGTGTGTCAGTAAACACAAGCGCTCTGTTAGTCACAGATAAAAGCTTCAGTCAGAGAGACTCTCTCCGGACGCACACACAGCTCATGCCAGTTGGAGGTTTGCCTTGTATCTGCTTTTATCATGAACTGAAACGCGCCCAAAGAGGCTTTCGTCATTAGCAGGATGTGCGGGAGCCCGTTAGCTGAACAGAAACGTCATGATGGCTTCTCACGCTACTACTGAACATGAGTCACGTCTGCTCACCTGTCGTCACCCCTCCAGCAGCACTCAAACTTATCAAAGATGCAGTCGTTCTCGTAGAGAGAGCACAGCTTACTCCTGAGATAACCATGAACCTGAGAGAGAGAGAGAGAGAGAGAGAGAGAGAGATCAAAGTCACAAAACACACTAATGCCACACACAGCAGGGAAAGCTAGTTTATGAATATCTCAGTTTCTAAATGTTTAGAGCTTCACAGTGTTTAATCAGAGCATTCTGGGTAATCAGAGCCATAAAACTAATGTCATCGTAAGTAGACCAAGAAGCATTAATGTGACTACTTAAATAATAAACAATTGCTGATAGTTTCTGTGAAAAAAACCCTGACTTTTTCTTCAGAGCCAAAAAAGTAAAATGTTGTAAATAAGTATATTTTAAATACATTTAAATATATATTTAAAATAATATATATATATATTTTTATATAAATATATTTTTACAGTAAAACACTAAAAAAGTAGCTATGCTTTCTACACTATCCTTTCACTAAATAAACATGCAAAAATTATATTTAAACAATTTCCACCTCAGAAATTATTACTGATATTGAATTGTATTACACTCCCATTTATACATTTTTAGGTAAAGTTAGCTGTACATATTTGTGTTTAATATTGCCTATAATTATCACTAATCATAATTTCTTACTAATACAGGATAGTTTAAATTTCAACAGAAGATAAGCCAAGGACATAAAAATATATGTAAACAGCGAAGACGGTCATGTATTGATTTCGGCATGTAATTATTTCGGAATCCAAAGTGCCGTAATTAAGTTTATAATTAATTATAATCATGGTAATTGCAATATGTCATTAATCCAGTGCATCATATCCAACTTTTCATAATCCAATCAAATCCTGACGGCTTTTCCGACTGAAATATGGAAAAACAATATCCTCATGCAATGCAAACTACCTATATAGAGATGGTCAAGAAATAAATTCCTGACACCACCTAGTGGTCAATGTTGCTAAATTATTATTGTTTATAACAGGGGTCTTCAAACTCAGTCCTGGAGGGCGGCTGTCCTGCAGAGTTCAGCTCCAACCCTAATCAAACACACCTGAACCAGCTAATCAAGATCTTACTAGTCATGCTAGAAACTTGAAGGCAGGTGAGTTGAGGCAAGTTGGAACTAAACTCTGCAGGACACCGGCCCTCCAGGACAGAGTTTGGAGACCCCCTGGTTTACAGGATTGGTTCGCACAAAATGAAAATGATCATTTTCTAACCCTCCTGTTGTTCCAAACCTCTTTGACGTTCTTTCTTCTAAGGGAAAAAAGAAACTTTAAAGAATCTCCTGAACGTTTCTTTTACATAAATACAGAGTTCTGGCATGAAACTCTCGTTGGCGCAGTCCGATAGGTCTAGCTCATTCTGACCTGGTGACATCATTGTCACATGGCAGCTGATTGGTCCTCTCCTGTATCGGTAGCCAATGAGCTCGCTGCTCAATATTCAAATACCTGGCTTTTGTTTGCTGTAGCAGTTGGCAGCACACTTCAGAAACCCTCCACCTTACCCAGCTCCACCTGTATAGATCTGCTACCGGGTGATTCATGTATGCTATATGTGAGTTATTCATATGCGTTATATGTGCAGCAGCAGTATTTCTTACATGCTCACAGCAGCATGTTGTGGATGTATTGGCAGTAGCAAGTTTCGGTACTTGCTCTGCCGCAGCAGCAGCGTAGCAGACCAAATACATTAACATTGTCATGTACATTACCATGCCAATCCCTCCGAGAGTTGTCATGACAGAACTATAAGTTATAGAGAGCGTTCAAGGTCAAACATTGTTTCATAAAAGCAGCTCTTCTGAAATGGTCTGAATTCATAAAATAGCTTCGATTTCAGTTGATACTCATTGATAAACTTCTCCAGGAAGGTGTTCACCGCTGCAGTTGAAAACCAGATCAGCATGATTCGAGAATAAATCAACTCAGACTGGATCAACCTATCGAATTATGAAATGTTATGGTACTTTCAAAGCCCTTTTTATAAGCTTAAAAGCCTCAGTCCAGATTAACTGTAATTGCATGGATAAAACAACCAGAATATTCAGCATTTCTCCTTTTGTGTCCCAGAAGTCAGTCATACAAATTAGAGCAACAATGAGGCTGAGTAAATTATGACAGTTTTAATTTTTAGGTGAACTAATCCTTTAAAATGATTAGCTTTGGCACACCCAAAGCCATATGGATTACTATTTTCTCAAGAGCAAATCTGCCTCAGAGACAGAAACAGCACCTGGTAGGTTTCCACCGGTCGACTCTCCATGTGAAGGTCCCAGATCTTGAGGGTCAGATAATCTCTGGTCATCATGTATCGGCCGCTGTGACTGAACTTGACGTCTGAGATGGATGAGATGATTTCAGAGAAGAAGGAGCGTGTGCTGGGGTCCTCTGGTTCCTCAAACACTGCACAGAAACGCATGATAAATGAGTTACATGACAACAAAAGTCCTCCTGACAGGTTTACAGCTCAGATCAACAAAAGTGTGTGTCTAATGAGCAGTGAAACTTCAGAAACGGACATTTCGAGTGTTGGTCACACAGCGCGGACGCCCTCATGTCACACAGGCGCACGGAGCCCTTGCTGCTGCCGTACACAAACGTGTTGCACTGGAGCGGGTGAAACTCTGACGCCGTGATCACCTCCGTCAGCTCCTCCATGTTGGCCGGCTTGATATCAACAATGTCTGAGTCAGCGGTTAAGTCAGCAAACTTCAGTTACACTACAAGAATGTGAACCAGTGTGTATTATGAGGAAAAAGAATGAAAAATAATAAAAAGGAAGCTCAGCAATTGCCTTATTAACCATTATGAAAAGTTCACATGTTATATAATATAACTGCAAAAAACTGGGGTCAGTAAGATTAAATTTTTTTAAAATTAAGCATGCATTAACTTGATCAAAAGTGACAGTAAAAACATTTGTAATATTACAAAAGAGTTCCATTTCAAATAAAATGCCGTTCTTTTGAACTTTCTATTCATCAAAGAATCCTGAAAAAAAAGAGAAAATCATGGTTCTCACAAAAATATGTAGCAGCACAACCGTTTATTAGTTTATCTTCCATAAGCTGCATTTTTTATCATCTGAAACATTTCCCACGCTGATAGTTTCGCTTTAAATAAATTAATTTGCGCTTGGCGTTTATAATAAATGTTGTTTATAATAAATGTCACTCTAATTTATGTTTAGTTTATACTTGTATTTTTCATTCCTGTTAGGTTTTGAATACTGTTAAATTCAAAGATTTGTTAAATAGTATTAATAATGTTACAGTTAAATTTAAATATTTGTTGAGTGAGGGGAACTAAAATACATGTTTACGGTATTTATAACATTTTATTTACTGGCCTTTTACATAATTTCTGAATGTAATAATAAAGTTTGACCCATGCACTGATGCAACTTAGCTGTGTTTTTTCTCTCAACAATGCAATTTTTGAGCAGGTGCGACTTATTTCACTGAAAATATGAACGATTTCTAAAGGATCATGTGACAGTGAAGACTGGATTCATGGCTGCTAAACAAAAATTCAGCTTTGCATCACAGGAATACATTACATTTTAAAAAATAATCAAATAGAAAACGAAAAAGTTATTTTAAATTGTAATACTATTTCACATCATCCCAGAATTTTTACTAAAATACATGCAGCCTTTGGTGAGCAAAATCCTTCAGACTCCGAACTTTTTGAACAGTAGTGTATGAATAAACAGGATACTGAAGCTTCGGTCAGTGAAGTCCAGGTGCCACAGATTGATCCGGAGGTCATCGGCGGACAGATACGTCTCATTGTCGCTGTTGACTGAGATGGAGTTGATGTGGTAGGTGTGAGCGTTGGCGTAAACCCGCCGCGGACTCGCCTCCACCATCAGATCCATCGGCTGGAACACTGGAACCTGCGCGGAGCAAAGCCTGTTACTCGTATGGACTTATTAATGCATTAACATAATTCATAAAGTGTGCGTGTGGTGTGAGTGTGTTCACACCCGTAGTGTTGTGAGGGATGATGGATGCCTGTAGCGGCCATCCTCTTCTTTGAGGTTATAACCCTCTGGTCGCTTGTCTCGTTCACTGATTTTCCAGAGCTTGATGGTTTTATCTGCATGCAAGAAAACAACGGTGCATTGAATAATCAACATATTTGATAACAGAGCAACCTACACATATAAATGTGTGAATGTGACTGTACCAGTGTTGCTATTATTAACTGAACTACTAAAAATCATTTTCATGCAATATTATATGAACAACTTAAAAATGTGAAATGTTGCCTTGGGAAAGAAATTTCAATATGTTTAAACTTAAGTACTACATTTACTAAAACTGATATATTAAAAAAAATATATAAATATTTTAAAAAGAACTTATAAATTATTAAAACTTGAAAATTCAAATGAAAGCTAATTCAAAATATGAATAATAGAAGTAATATTAAAATAACACTAATCTGTGCATTTCATCTGTTAGCTCACCGTTTGTCGACAACAGGAAATGTGCAGCATTTTTCTGAGGAAGCCAGCGGATCTTGTTGATCTTCTCCTCGATTTCCAGACTCTTCAGATAGTCGAACTCCGGCTCGTGACTCTGGAACGTGCTGTAGACGTTATACTCGGCGCGGAACTGCGGCAGGCTCTTACTCTGATAGGACAGAGATGTCACATGACCTTTTAAACATCCTGCATTACAATGATGCTAGCAATTTGTCAAGGTTGTTAACATAAAAAAAACTAACTAACGAAAAAGAATTTTTTTTCTCTTTTCCGCTAACTGAAACAAAGCTGAAAAAATAAATGATCTAAATGTAGATGACAAACTTAAATGAAATGTTGCCTTTGCAATTAAGGCAGAAATCAGCTGAAGTACTAAAATGACAAACTGAAATACAAATAAAGCTACAAACAGTAATATTAAAAAGAAAAAACTAATACAAATGACAAAAGCAAATAACAAAATTACTACAATTTTAACTATTTAAAAATAAAACCTAATTAATAGTTAATAAATAATAAAATAGTCTATAAATAATATATTGCATTTTGAATAACAATTTCAAGCAACAAAAGCCCATGTATTGTCTTAATGTAAACTTGGAACCAGATCCAGTGCTCATTATATCAGGACATTCTAATTATACATATTCATTGAACAGTGCACAACAGAAATTCCTTAAGTATTGTTTGATAACCGCCAAGAAGCTGTTATTACCGTTCAGGAAAAAAGGGTTAAGAGTCCTGCTGCCAAACTATAGCTTGAGGAACTGATATCTACACCTGGGACGACCAAGTTATCTCTTAAAAGGCAACACTGGACAATTTCACAAGATTTGGGACCCTTTCTTCTGTTACCTCAATAGGAATTATATTCCTTAATGCAACGTATTGTACCTTAAATGTTGTGTGTTTATGTCTCTGTATTGTATATTAACAGGCTGGGGAAGGGGTGTTACATTTAATGTTTTTTGGTAACACTTTCTATTAGGGATGCACGATATATCGGCCACCATATCGGCTCATTTTTTCTGTTATCGGTATCGGCCTGATAAGAAAATTTGGCCGATATCTTAAAGCCGATAAATAATGCATTAATTATAAGGGTATTCTTAAGGCATTATAATGAACGCATAATGCATTATAAAAAAAACTTATAATATGTACAGTACAGTTTTGATATATTATAATATTTACTTATTTGTGGTTATAGCTTTTAAGAGTATGATGATTTAGAACACGTTGCATCCACTTTTACAATGTATTATATTTCTCATAGTTATAATGTATTACAAGTCTCATATCTTGACATTTTTCTTATGCTACTTTACTTAAAGCGGTCAAAAAAAATTCTCTCAAACAGCCATGCGATCAGATATCAGATCAGATGAATGTGTAATATGGCACATTTGCTTTGAACTATTTTTATTGTAATATCAGTTTGATTATTTTGATGGTACCATTTAAACAGCTGTTGATAAGTGACTCTGCAACTACATATCAACTAGCGGTCATTAGAGTATTAGTACGTCTGCTACTGTAAATATTTGCTAACACTTTATTTTGATGGTCAACCAACAGATAAACTGACTATAAGTGTCTTTGCAAGTACGTCAACTTATTCTACCATACTAGATTCTACCATTCTTGAGCATACTAATACTCTAATGAGAGTTAGTTGGCATGTAGTTGCCAAGTTGCTTATAGTCGATTGATTAAGTGGACTATCAAAATAAAATGTAACCATATAAAACATT